TTTTTGCTCATTTCTCGGAGGCAAAATGAGCAAGAACGCTCATTTGTACATCATTCTAGACAGAAATAAATGGCCTTTTTAGAAAGTGAACCTTGGATGGGGAAATGTTGGCAGTTTTCTCACAAAATGCTTGAATTCAAGAAGTTTTAGATTTGCGTGGTTTTTCTTGAGTTGCAAAATCCACTTGAACATCACGCTGCTTTTTTCGAAGTTTCTCAAGAACCATTCGAGCCACAGAATTCGTTTTGGCATCGTTGGATAGAGAATTGAAAAGCCGATTCAGTCGTAACAACATGAGTGAGGAAATTCGAGTAGTTTTGACGCAGAAAGCGAAATATGAATATCAGACACTTAGGTGCAAGATTATGCCAAAATTTCATGTTTCCCGTCCCGTTTTTGCTCATATATCGGAGGCAAAATGAGCAAGAACGCTAATTTTTACATCATTCTAGAGAGAAATAAATGACCTTTTGAGAAAGTAAACCATCGATAAGCAAATCTTGGCAGTTTTCTCAAAAAATACTGGAATTGAAGAAGTTTTAGATTTGCGTGGGGTTTCCCAGAAGGATTCCTCCGAATCGCGATCACAAATCTTGATATGGTCTTCAACTTTCATCTAGCCTTGGCACGTTTATTGGAGCTTCAAACCATGTTATTCTCGTCTGAGTTTTTCAACTGATCCGGAGCGAAACAACCAGGAAACTAATAGCAATTTCAGATCGTAAACATTGTGAAAAAAACGCTAAACATTAAGTCAGACCGATCAATTTATGTGGGTAGATCGTATCGTTGGAACGCACCACGATTTAGCCCAGACCTGCTGGTCATGGTGGTCAGGGTCATCATCAGGAATATTTTAAAATGCGGAATTCCCTTGAAATGTGACTCACGTATGGGTTAAGTGAAGGATATGCGACTGATTCAGAGCATTTGCCTTCATATTCCTGCTGCCTGATCATTATTGGTTCTTTGAACATATCGGCAGCACAAATTAGATAATAACCAGCAACTTTCATCGACTAAAAATAACCTCGCTGATCAAAAACGAGAATTGCAAGCATAAAATGCTAATTACACTGATTTATGGTTTTTAGCGCTACTATGAACTTAATAATTAACAACTGGCAGGTTCATTGTTGCTCTGAAGCGTGGCGGATCGGCGTGGCGAATGAACACATTCATTTTTGCTTAAACTAATGAACCTTGCAAACTGCAAGAGATCAGCAACCAATAAGTTTTTCAACCTCAACCTTGCGATTTCATTCTAGACCCCCAAGATGCCGACAGTTCTCCCACATATTCTCCTCCTCACTACCCTCACCCTGACATGGGCCTTACCACAAGGCGCCCCAAACTCTGAGCAAGTTTGCCACACCATGACGCCCTACCATGGAGGAGGAATTCGACCGCAGGGGGGCATTAGCCCCTATGAGGTCCACCCTAGACGCCTCGGAGGGCGTGTTATGATAACAGTCACCTCAGGCCTGGGGATACCATTTCAGGGCTTCTTGATGCAGGGCCGCACCCCTGATGGGTAAGCAATCACGATCCAATCAAAGATTCGTGCGAAAAACAACTGGGGTTGCAGGCAGGTGCTTGGCCAGTTCGATTCTGCCTCGATCAACGAAGGCCATCCGCTGGACTGCCACGATCCTGCTGATTCTATAACGCATAACTCGCCCAGCGATAAGAATAGCATAGAAGTGCAATGGGCGCCGCCACCCGGCTTTGAAGGACCCGTCGTGTTCAAGTAAGTTCTTAAGTTCTTAAGTAGGGTTCTTAAGTAGAGACTTAAGGTTATGCTTAGCGTTAAGTTCGAGC